ATAGTAATGTATCTATTATAAGTTATATTTCAAATATATAACCCGAAAAATACACAAGTCGAAATTACTTTTATCCACCTTGAGATTTGAGTTATCAAGACTCGACTGAATAAGTATAATTATTATATAATATACTATACTATATTATAGTGTACTACGGTCTACAGTTATCTGTTACTTTTTTATAGTATTTATTTTTGTCATTATAAAATGTATCAATCGTATGATGGTATATCACACTTACTTAGAAACAATTATACGTTATCATTTTCATACATAGATGTTTTCAATATTTTCAAACACTTGATTATTTTCCAAGTACAATACAATCATATACAAATCATAATTCATAAATCTAAAAAGGAAACCGATAAACATTATTACATTATTTAAATTTACTACATAATGCATATAGCATTAAACATACCTGAGTTTAGTTCTTCAGTTTTAACTTCTAATCGGATTTTGTTTTTCATATTATGCTGTAGGTATTAAAATAATGAATCAATATTTTTACAATTCTTGCTCCAGTCTAAATTAAGTTTTCTTCGTGTTCTTTAGCATCACTACTATTTATCCTCTAAAATCCAAATTAATTTTGAATATTAAATAAATTCAAGACACCTTTGTGGAAGACGTCAATTGCACAATGTACCTATTAATATTATAGTATAGCCAGTATAGGTAGGTACGGACAACACAGTATATACCTACTATAATATTGTATAGTCTGAGAGTCTCTTTTCCAGTGGCGTACATACGGGGGGGGGTTTTCGGGTTCAAACCCCCCCCAGGACCAAAAAAAAATAAAAAAATAATGTGATATTATTGATGAATTTCTTATTATTAATCAACCGTGTATACACAAATATACGTCATTATAATATGACTATTGAGCAAACAGTAAACATTATACCAAACCAACAACGAAAAAAGATTTCATAACGAAATTATGGGTGCCGTATAATATGGTATACCAATCAAAATAGACATTATTTTGATCGTACACAGTCAGTTAGTTGCGTGCGGATATAAATACATATTAATATTGTCTTTATCTCGACCGACTCATTATAAACACACAAGACTTTGAGTTTTTTTTTTTTTTAACTCAATTAAGTTATTATGCATACACATATAGATATAGTATATATTGTATTTTTAAGTACAGAAGTTACCTATCACATAAGTAATAAGTAATAAATAATAATAAATAAGTATTATATATTTTAGTTGTCTTTCAAACAGATATTATTTGTGTACATCATAATACGATGAGTATTGAGTAGGTATTTTTAATTTTAATGTTTAACTATCAACGTGAATACTGTTAATAATAATTTTTAATAATAATTAATAATCTCACAAAACCGTAAACCATAAAATCAATAGGTAATTGATTTATTTTTTTTTGTTTATTTTTAGATTTTAGTGTCGGCACTCGGCAAACTATATCACAATATTATGTCTATATTATTGAAATTTTGAGATGGCAACAAAATAGACTCAAATAATGAAATGTAAAAAAATGAAAAACAAAATAAATTAACTTACAAATAAAAAAATGAATTCGTTAATTTAACGTTGATTAAAAAATAAATTTAGTAAATTAGTAGTTAAGTTAAAAATTATTATTATCACAGCATAATCATTATCATTCGATTTCGATATATTTTAGGTTTTGAAGGTAAAATAAATAGTAATCATGGCTGAAAAAAATCAATCGAAACTGCAATCTTTTTTTTCTAAACCACCCTCAATAATGAATTCATTGTCAAATTCATTAAATGCAACTCAAACAGTTATAAGTTCCTCTAGTTCCTCATTACCATCAACTGCATCTGCTTCTGATACACCTATCACGCAGTTTACACCTTCGACTACAGATATTAATCGTACATCTTCCAGTTATAATATTTTTGACATTGCACATTACACAAATAAATTGTTAACGCAAAGTGAAATAGAAGAAATTTTGAGCAAAATTTGGGTCCCTGATATTAATTACAATTTTCTTATCAAAATATCAGTAGTCGGTAAACAACAAAAAGTTTTGTGGTTGAAATTTCAATATAAATGGCTAATTAACTTTCCCTGGTTGGCCTATTCAGAAGTAAACAATGGTGCGTATTGCAAATATTGTGTTGCTTTTACTAAAAATGAAGCCGGTGTTAATAACCAAAAATTGGGAGCATTTGTATTAAAAAAATATGATGATTGGAAACATGCATTGGAAGACTTTAAAAATCATTCGAATTTAGAATATAACAATCAATAGAATTTTTATTATAAATAATTAATAATATAATATTTATAATATTCTGTACTTACTATGTGCATATTAAATAATATTTAACTGCCATGAGTTACGTAAACCTTTGTATTTGTTTTACTATTTTGCCTATTAATATTTATACGTGTAATGTGTTTGATTGTTAGGAAAATGGGTAGTTGCAAAGAGAAAGTTATAGTGCTGGTTATTTTTTTTAAACCTCCCCCAGAGCAAATTTGAATGTACGCCACTGCTCTTTTCACTCAAAAAAAAAAAATAAAACACTGGACTATATATGCTCAACTTACATTACAACAATGTTTTTGTTATCTGCAACAAGTGCGATCATCTGCAGTGTTCTGTGTTTTTTATTGCGACGGTGACGTTGCAGTTATTACGAGTATAATTGTATAAATATTAAATAATAATAATTAAAAATGTTATTATAATTGTTTATTAAATCACTATACAAGCTGTTCAGGGCTTATAATATCTGTATATATATTTCGTACCTACATCGGTACCTACATCGAATAAATTGTTTAAGCAAAATATTATACAAGTATATAACTTAAATTTTAAATTTAATACTATTATATCGATTAACGATTAATCGGTATAATACTTAAAATCACACAAACTGATAAGGTAGGTATATTCTTACAATCTTACGCATTATATTAGATTCTGAGCGGAGCTAGGAAGCAAGTGGTTTTACAATGGTGCAGTTTATTTATTTTTTTTTTTTTTATATCCTCTATACAGAATATTTACCAGAAGGAATGATTTGATTTCAACATATTATAGTACCTTATCTTTTAGCAAATTGGATCAAAATGGTACTTTAGAAAAGTAATTTTTCGATTTTCCCAATAGTTATTTAATGCCACAAGAAAAACCACCGACAAATTACGAAAAACCGCTAAAAATGGAATTTTAATTTAAAACGCTTTGCTTATCACCATAGAAACGAATAAAAAATAATAATACCTATTATAATATAAATTCAACTCTTACAGGATATAATAAATATAGTAACAATATCCAGACTGACCGTCTCCGTTCAGAATCGTTTTTCTTATACAACGATATTTTAACGTTGAATTCAAGTCTAATACAATCCTTTATACATTGACCCACTTGTAACCTACTGTACAGCAGAGCGACATCCACTTATCCACTTTTTTTTTCTAATATAACCTACTAAATTATAGTCTCAAACATTTCAGTATTTTTTAAAACTAAAGAGGGAATGGCACAGTGATAACGACTAGCCGAAATTATTTTATGTGAAATTAGCCCTTAAAATTTGTCCAATTTTTACCTATATTTGTTTGTAAATATAGGTTAATATATAAATATGTTCAATCACATGTTCAATCAATCAATGTTAATGACAAATCTGGTTGGAATCTGGTTGAAATGCACCAAAGTCGAACATCGTTGAGTAGACAATATAATAATATCTTATCGTCTATACGCATTTAAAAATGAAAATTAATAATAAATATTATCAGGCCATTTATTCTTTTATAGGTCTATGGCCTTCGTAAATATGTTATTCTCGATACATTTGGTAACCGTTTGTTTTACTCGGGAGATGACTCGAAAAATCATTGAAAAAAAACGATTATTTACCCGGATGCTTTTTATCTATAATGCGCGCGCAGGTCTGATATAGAAAACAGTTTTGTGCTGACATCCACTTAATAAAATTAATGTGTAAATATAATGTTATATTATCATTTATCATAACATAATATTTCAATATTAATTGTAGACAATAAATTATTATAATTATTATCAACTATGACGTCGTGTGGCCGAGTGGGTCCGCCCCGCGACGAAAACACCGCAAACGATATCGTAAATCGACAGGTTTTTCTCACAATATGAATTGCGCGTGCCGTTTATCCACATTCCGCGCGGGTCGGCGCGCGGCGGTCCGGTCGTCCACTCACGACGGTACGACACGCCAGTTCCACCGTTCCACCACTCCAGTCGCGCCGCGCCAGCCGTTCCGTGCGGTCGTCTGTTTGTCCGTCGCGTGCCCGTACGGGGATCTCGCGCACTTTTTCCATCGGCCTTGGCTCGCCGCCGCCGATATTAATGTTGTTATTATTATTATTATCATCTTTCGACGACGACGACATCAAATGCCCGCCGCCGCATTGACGGCCTCTACCGACGGAGAGAAAATACCGAGAAATACAAGAAAACTCGGAATCGCTCGATCATTATAATTTATATAGATATCATCGTCGTCGCCGCGTAATTTTGTTCGTCTTCCGCTGCGTGGCGCTCGCGATGGACTGAAAACGGAAAGCTGTGCGCGCACAAGCCGCGACCACCGACCGTCGCGAGACGCGCGAAACGTCCGACGACACGCCGCGCGAGTGCAGTGCTCACTATAATATTATATCACTGTTGTTTAAGAACTGTTTACGATTCCGTCGACAGATGTTCGAAATCGTTAAAATACAATAAAAAATATATTGTCATTAACCATTATAACAGTTGTAGTGTCGTAGTGCTCTGTCGTTCGCTGTCTTACGGTGTATGTAGTGCCTAAGTTATCTGGTTCGAAGATCACGACGCCTAGGTTGGACCAGTTGTCTGTTGATCTGCAGGACCTGTCGTCTGATAGCTATAATAATACAGTGAGTTGTACTACGTCCTCCACAGATCTTTCGGATTCGGTCATCACACGCAACCATAATCGAACAACATGAAAGCGGCGAGTCCGTTCGTAGCGAACAAAATGGAAACCCGATACGTCGACAACGACGAAGACAACTACTCGGATGCCAGCTCGTCGCTGGCTCCCAACGGCTCCGTAGTGTCGACGGTGCCCGACAGACACGGCTTCCTAGGCGGTACCCAGTACCTGAACGAATCGTAAGTGCCATAGGTATTAAGGGACTGTTTTGCCTTATGATATTAATCCTGTGCAAATTTACACCTTTGTGAGCCAGCTTCACGTCGGCTTACAGCTTTTGCAGTCTTTAATCTATTGTGAACCATAGAGTAATATGTCGTGGACTGTGTTGAAGAGTTTTTGGTTGATTTTATGTTTTACCCATCATTCTCTGTAGTAATAGTGATCGTTTCGATATTTCTTGATTAACAAGTCGATTAAATATTTATGTGTTTTTTTTTGCCATAAATGGTGAACAGTAATTAAAGTACATACCTAATAAAAGAAAATTATTGTTTATACATCTAAAATATTGGAATGTTAGGTAATATATATGTTACCGCCCATAATTTCTTTTAAATTAAATATAAATACCATGCTATCTAGGTATTTAGTCACATTATGATCGCCTTTAGAACGATATCTGATAAATAGTAATATTATAATAATTGTCACGGTCATTATTATTTAAGTGACATTAATTAAAAAATAAGATGCTTGATATGTTATAGATTGTTTTGTATTGTATTGACCACACCTTAATTATTATTGTGAAATCAATGTTGGCGCAATCGCAGACCTCTAAATATAAAAATTCTTATACTTTCTTTATGATTGTGAAAGTTTCACAAAAAATAACTGACCGATTGCAGTGGTACCTATATAAAATATGATTAATAAATGTAATAATATAAAATTTAGTTAGGTATGATGTCTAGCTCGTGGGGTTTGTCAAAAAAAAAAAAAAAAATATGAAGATGTAAAAGATTTTTTGTAATATTCCCCTAAGAAAACATGTCGACAATCCCTATCCGAAAGATTTTAATTAACAGTCAAATCAGGCAAATAATGATATTATTATTATAACTGTACACTTGCAATATTGTATATTATTATTGACAATGATAATATCGAACACAGGAAGTTAAATCCTCTTTTGGTCATCCTAGCTATTTGGTATGCTACAGTGTGCGCATTGCATACTTCCTGTTTGATTCAAAATTATTATGCATTTAAGGGTATTGCATGAAAACAACATTACAGTTCACTAGTTACGCTTATACGTGCATAAAGGAAGTATATTTGGTTTGCTTTTAACTCCTCCCCGTTCCCCTGTCCCATATGTGAGAACATTTTCCATACTTTCTACAGATATCCTGAATTACATGCCTACATAATATTATCTCATTGCTGTGTGAAATTTTTGTACCTAACAAATTAATGTCTGATTGTAGGAAACACATGATATCGGCTAACAAAACCATAGAACGTGAACGAAAATGGCTTAATATGACTGCCAATTGGGATAAACAAATGAGTAGGAGTTTTAAAAAAGTAATAACATTAAAAATAATATTGGTACCTACCTACCTACACCGACCTATATAACGTATTTTAAAAATTTCGTCTTAAAATTGCTACGTTTTTTTTTAGGTACAAAACCGATGTAGAAAAGGAATTCCACAATCGATCAGACCTAGAGCTTGGTTGTACTTGACTAAAGCAAATAAACTGTTGGACCAAAAGAAAAATCTCTATTTCAAGCTGTGTGACCAGCCAGGAGATCGTAAATGGATCGAAGACATAAGAAAAGATCTGCATCGACAGTTCCCGTACCACGAGATGTTTGTCGACCAAGATGGAACAGGGTAAATTGTAACGAACATTTTAAATGTTTTAATATTGTTTAACATAAGTTGCGTATTTTTCCAACAGCCAAAAAGAGTTATTCAATGTTCTCAAAGCGTATACAATATTAAATCCTGTGATTGGATATTGTCAAGCACAAGCTCCAATTGCTGCATTTCTTCTCATGCACATGCCAGCCGAGCAAGCGTTTTGGTGTTTTGTAGCAATTTGTGATGATTACCTTAGTGATTACTACAGTCCAGGAATGGTAATTGAACATACCTAATATTAAACAATAGGTACATTTTTTAATGAACGGCATTTAATTCAATTGATCAATTTTATGTTTAGGAAACATTGATTAGAGATGGTAACATACTTTTTGCATTATTAAAAGAACGGGAGCCAAAAATTTATAAACTTTTGGTGAGTGTATGATCTTACTTCTCAATAATGTATAGTTTATAATTGTGTTTATATTAATATAATTTATTTTATTCTTTAGAAAAAACAAAGTATTGATCCAATTATGTATATGACTGAATGGTTTTTATGTGCTTTCACAAGAACATTGCCATGGCCCACCTTGTTGAGGTTTTGGGATATATTTTTATTTGATGGTAAATATTTTTTTTAAATCTTTTCCGAATTCAATTTTATATATCCTCTATTAATTGTAGGTGTTAAAACATTTTTCAAAATGGGTTTAATTATGATCAAAATATCGTTGCCAGAAAAATCATATTCTGATCTCAAAAAACGTTTTCCTACCATGTGTGAAACCTTAGAAGCTCTGCGAAATCCACCATTGCATATGCTCGAGGAAGAGAGAATTATCAAGAAGGTATTTTTACTCTTATATTTTATTATTTTTATTGATAAATGTATAATTTTCCTTTTTTCTGGTCTAATAGCTCATACTGTTAGAAATACCCGAAGACACGTTCAAATATTACCACATGCAACAAACCTCGTTGAGACGAAAAACTAAAGAAACAAAAAAAATTCGAGAAACTGATGTGTTTTGAACATTTGCAATGACCATTTTACAAAAGTTACCTTAAGGAAAACAGGTTAATAATAAGAGTATAATTCTGATCTAATATATAAAATATATATTGAACTGGTCCTTTAATTTTATATATTGACAAAAAAGAATTTGTATTATTATTGTCAGTCTTCCATATTCATAATATTATATTTAATATTATCTTATTGTTATATATTTTAAACTTTATGTAGGAGATTCAAGTAAATTTGTTGACTAATTTTTTATTTTAATTCATGCGGTGCTCTAAGTGTAAATAAAATAATTATTACTTTCTAGTCTGTATATTTTATTGAAACAACCTTGTAGTACGTATTTGAAAATGAACATTTCTCTTGAATAACTATGTCACTTATCATTAACGCTCGGCAATGACGTTGTTTCAGCAGATTATATTTTGTTAAACTATAACAATTAACAGCACACTGAAACGTACGTGCAATTGTATTTATTCCACAATTTGTTTTTTTTTCTAAATAACTTGCTTATCTTTTAAATCTGTAAAAAAAAATTGATAAGGACTGGATAGTCAGAATTTTTTATCATATTTTACGTCAACACACTAAACAAATTGTAAATGTCCTCTGCGCACAATACCATTTACAATATTGTTATTCATGTTTAAGAATTTGTTTCTGAGAATAGAAATAAAAAATGGATAATAGAATTCCATTACAAATACTGTTTTTATGCATGGAGGAAATTTCACAAATATCAAGTGTTTTATTTTTTAGAAAATTTTGTACAACTAATGTCTAATGGGACACAGTCGACCAAAGGCTTACAAATTTTATGAATAAATCTTCATTTAAGACGACGTGACATTTGTTCGATCAGATGAATGTTATTCGGTCAATATAATATGTGAGGATTTTAAAGAAAATATTATCATGCTATCTTGAACCATTGTCTGTTAATTACGTGTTTCAATAATATTTACATAATTAGAGAAGCATTGATAATATATTTCTATAGACGTTTAGTCACTCAATTACAGTTATTCACATGAGTCATAAATCATAATGCACTCGTAAATTGAACATTTTTTTTTTCTCATACAGTTTACAAATTTTATAATAATTAAAATAGTTGATAAGATTAAATTAATTTTTTTTGACTGACAACATAATTTAATTGCAATTGAAGATTTTTAATATATATATATAAATGTGTGTGTGTTTGTGTGTTTGCTCATCTCTTTTAAGCAAAGCTTGTGTTAGAGATGAGGAGTACCTACGATTAAACATACAAATTAAATTGGCATTAAAGTTATTTGAGAGAAGAGAAAAAAGAAAAGAGAATAACAATGGGACAATGACAAATAAACATAATTTACATATTAGCAATAATTACTCTTAAAGATTAATTTGCTTAATGAGTACTTTATAACAATTTTAAAATTGATTTTTTAAAGTTACAAAAGTTGTTATACTATTTAATGTTAACCTGCACAACTCAACTGCTATATTTAAACTACTTCTAAGCCCAAACGACTAAGTACACTTTATTTTTATTACATACAATTTGTTTTTTTTATCTTGTATTATGATCATGAATATAATTATTTTTGTATGCTAGAATTAGAACATTTTATAAAAATAGTCTATCTAATTAAATATACCAGTCTTTGTAAATTTTCTCTGTGCTATAGAGGTTTGGTAGTTTTAGAATATATTTAATACATTTGCTTATAGTGGTTTTTAACTGAGATATGAATTAAAGGTCCCTCCTCATATTTCAATACCGAAAGTAATTACTGATTGAACAAAGGCAAGATATATTAATTGTACGTTATGTAAGTCCTATACATTTCTAATGTTTCTTAATGTAAAAAAAAAGTGTTTTCTTATAAATGAAATAACATAATCAATATGTATTTTCCATTTTAATTGATTACCCAAGTGCAAACCTAAGTATTTAATACTATCCACGTTTCCAATATCTTTGCAATTTATAAAACTATTTGTTATACATAATCCTGAGTGATTAATTATTTTATAATCGTTTTTAAATGCTATATTTTGTATATTTTTTCCCAGGTTAAGTTCTAGACAGTTATTGTAAATTTGCCATTTTAAAATCTAAGTTAGCTTTGTTGGACAAACATTCAATAGATTTTTCTTTCAATAGTATAACTATCACCGGCAGAACAAAGTAGTTTATCATCAACAATTAAATTCATTAAGCTATTCATATAAATAATAAAGGTCCAAGGACACTGAGGCAAGCCATGACTTACATTTAAGGGTTGCAATGAATACACTTGCAGGAATTTGTTCAAACAACATTTTTCTTATTAAAAATAAATAAATATACAATTTACAGTCTGTAAATTTGTATCTATTTGTAACCTGTAAAGTTGATAACATAAGAACATTTGTTTATTTGAACGAACAAAAAATGGACGGCCTGAAGGAAAGAGGGAGCTTTCTTAAACTGCATACTTCAACAATCAACTTGAATGGGTTGGATTGGGAGGTGTATATAATTTTTTGTTTTGTTTTATGCATTTTCAATTGTTTAGGAGGTTGGTCACGTGGTCACTTTCATTTAGTCGTATACAAAGTACAATGGCCAAAGTCAGTACTGAACTAGTATTTAGTTCAGTGGGTTAAACTTTATCTCAAACAGTATACATATTGTTAACTATTAAACTAGGTATCTCAGTGGCTGCAGCAGAGACGCAGAATAAGTTGTTCTGTACATGTTCATGTAATGGGTACTGTCTATGGTTATATTATGCGTTGTATTGTACTTGATGAGAATATACTATTGTGGTAGGACGGTCACAAGTAAATAATAGCATACATATATTACAACTGCCCTCCTCATAAGCTAAAATGCCGTAAGTCTCTTTCAAACGTTTTGTAGTAAAACCAATTTTTATATATTGCAATTATTACTTTACATAACAAATCTTACATTTTACTTTTTAATGTAAGATATCTATTTAAATTTGCATGACAAATGTGGGTAATTAAATTAAAATAAATAGGAATAAATTATTATATTTTAATTAAATATCTTATTTTTAAGTTGTTTCTTCGTATTGGTATGAGTAATTTTATTAAATATAAATAAAGTTATTTGGATTTATTACAGAAGCTTATAATGTTTGAAAACTACACGTAAATTAAGAGGGGGCGTCGTGTGTTGTATCCGTCTTACACACGTACGTCATGTTAAATTTTCATTCGCCAGTATTTATATAGTGTGCTGTTGTTTTTGATAATATTAAAGTGAATTGACAAATTATAAAATATTTAGGCAAGATTGTAAGAACATTATCTATGTTCTCTCGATCGGTTTTTCACGATATTTAAAATTTTAAATGGTATGCGTATCAGTGGCGTCATTTGGTTGGGGGGGGAACTGGGGCATTTGCCCTAGTCAGTAGTCTAGTTAAGTAGGCACAGTTACCACCCCCACCCCCTTAAACACAATGACACTAGGCTAGTGAAAAAAATGTTGAGTCGGAAAAGCAGTGAAAAGTTGCCCTAGTGACTAGTCTAATAAAAACTGAAATGACGCCACTGATGGATTTTATGTAAAATAATATTTGGAAATTATCATAATTTCGATCAAGCGAACACGGATAATGTTTTCACCTATAAAAGTTTTGATTATAAGTAAATGCACTCCATAACTGAGTACTCTATGATTGACTCTCAAAAACAGATGTTTATATTAGACTCATAAATATTTTTATGACATACCTAACTATATAAATATCTGTGCTCTCGAATAAAAACTTACAGCACGCCATTGAAACTAGTGAACGACAATTTGACATGTCGTACATGTGTAAGACAGAGACAACGTATTGTGCGGTTACGATGTATCCTCTTATGTCAGATATTATTACAGTGAAACCTCCCTTAACGGACACCTCCAAATAGCGGACAACATTTTGGAAATAGTAGGCTAAAATACCGTGTAAATGCCTAAAATAGAAGTAAAGCAGTGGCGTACCTAACTAGGGGGTGATATGAGTATTTATCATTAATAACAAGTAAAACATAAGTATTAAATAAGTTTTATTAGCACTTAAAAAACAAATTGAATGATTATAATAAAATATCCAGTTTTCTGGGTTTTTTTGTTAGCCAGTCAATTATTTCATCAATACCTGTAAGTTAAGTTGATGTACCTATTTGTGGACTAGCAGCTAATCCATTTAGTCTTGCCAGAAAAAAATTGTTACTTTCTTGGTGGACAATTAAAATTGAGTTAAAAATTAAAACCAGAGTAGGTACTCACTTCTGACATACTATTACGTGGGTAAGTTTTTATACGTTTTAGACTAGAAAATGAACGTTCCAGAGTAGCCGTCGATACAGGAAGTGTACAAAATATATTAAAAAGAAAATTAATATTTGGATATAATTCCTATTATTGCAGACTAAAAACGCATTCATGAAAGATGCCTTGAAGTTTAAATTATTTAATGACATATTTTTTCTCCACATTTCAAACTCTGTTGTTGCCACTTGCATACCATACGTTAAAATATATTATAAGTATACTTTTTAAAATTGAAACGTATGTATTGTACTAAGAATGTGTAACGTAGAAAAAAAAAGGTTTTGGGCCTTTGTGGGGTGATATATCAACCACATCATCCCCCCACCATAATATTACTCCACTGCAGTAAAGTATTATTTTACAACCTATTTACCTATACCAGCGGTTCTCAAACATTTTCCGCAATTCTATAAAATTTGAAAATTTGAAAATTAAATTTTATGTTTTAGTTGCCACCTCAATTATAAGACTTTTCCACTAATCTACTACCCAATACCTATTTAGGGGGGGTTGATAGGGTGTATTATATCGGTCAAAACACAGTTTACAGGAAAAACTCTCACACCTCGTAGATTGGTCCGATTTCCGTAATTTTTTTTTTGTTAGTTAGAAGAATATTTTTTACAGGGCGCATTGGACTTTGATTTTTGATTACGTTGCTAAAAATAAATAATAATACAAAAACTAAAAAGTTGTAAAAATGGATTAAATTCAAACTTGTAATATAAGATTTCGATAAATAATTTTGAAAATCCAAGTCCAATGCGCCCTGCAATACGTCTTCCTCTATTTAACAAAAAAAAAATTACGGAAATCGGACCAATCTACAAGGCGTGAGAGTTTTTCCTGTAAGGCATGTTTTTGAGCAAAAAAACCGGTCGCGACCAGGCCCCTTAATTAAAAAAAAATAATTCGGATGAGGGGCAAACCATAGGCAACTCATCGTACAAATGGCCATTGCGAGGATTTCCTTATCAACGGCGCGGGAACTTCCATTTTGTTTTTATCTATGGAAAATTTGGAGAACAACATCTTTGTTCGTTGATAACAATCACTTTAATACTTGAAACTTGTTGATGTGGGCAAGTCGGTACTCGCCTGTAATCGTGTCAGTGTCATTCGCGCATTGTACAAGTCTGTAAGTTGTGACTGCCAAAGGTCTAACTTACTATTATTATAGTCCTGTGAAGTGTGTGGTTACTCACGTCGGATCGGACTGGTGACTTCGGTTTTCTCTTTACGAGACATCTGCAGACCACAACCCTCCGCAATGTCACTATTTAGGTAAGCAAAACTTATGTCTGTCGTTTATTAATTGTGTGTACAGCAGAGGCAACTCTCGAGACTCACGGATATTATTATAATATTCAGTCGCTTACTAGATTCATAATCGCGTCCGCAACGGTCCGGACGTATCCGAGTACATTAAAAAAAAATTCGGTTACAAGACTCAAATGTGGTAATAAAAGTCGTAGAAAATAAACTTTTGTGTTGGTTATTGCTTACTACTGGTTTCTAATCATGCCCCACAAACTATATATTATGTAGCTACAACTAATTTTATAACATTTCAAATTTATCGCAATTATTGTTGTGCTGGTCCCAATGTGAGTCTTATAAGCGGTGTCTACTGAAATATGTAGAGTATTCATACATTTGCAAATTTATTATGGTTGATTGCTAAGTGAGCACATAATTCATTTCATGACATAACAATTTAAATTGTGTATATTTTGCATATTTCATCTTATAGTGCAGCGGTTCTTAACCTGTGGTCCGGGGCCCCTTGGGGGTCCGCGATACTCATGACGGGGGTCCGCGGCAGCCTCAACACATAACATACATCAATAAGTGACAGAGTGCATTATTACAATATTATTGGATTATTATTATTTTTTTCATATATGTAGATTCTACACCAAATAATTGTATTATTAGTATTTATTGAGTAGGTAATCAAATAATTGGAAATGTGTATGTTTCGTTGTCTACTAATGTAATTTTTAATATAAAATAATTATTATAATTTTGGTTATGATAACATGAGATGTTTTGTAAAAAAATTGGTAAAGGGGTCCGCGATTTCTAAAAATCTTTCATCAGGGGTCCGCGATCTACAAAAGGTTAAGAACTGCTGTTATAGTGTATAGTTGGGTATTTTTTTAGACATTTTTAAAATAATCAATATTGTAGAATAGAAAAGTTTAAATTAATATTGAAATAAATGAATAGGTATAGGTTTTCTCAAATATATTTGGGATTTTATTTTTTTCCTATAGATTAAAACGGGTTAAAATTGCCCGCAAAACACAAAATATGATTTCTGTACTTAAGAAAATTCCTTTTAGGTTACCTTTTAGATAAATATTAATTGATTCTATTTTTTCCTTATTGATTAAAAATACCTACAATACAGAGATATTTGAAAACAAAGTATTTTTAGTAGCGTTCCATAATGTTAAATGTATTATTTAAATTAAATGTTCAGAAAATAAATGTCATTTTTGACTAATTTTTGTGTGCATATTTGGTTGGTTTTTAATGTAGGTATGCAAATCTGCATTCTAGTAATATGTATAATATTAATTAATGTATAGTTCCTCAGCGTGTTACCAGCACCTACACAATTCCTTCAGGACTTGGAAGAAGATGACGAAACCAATGAAACACTTGCTGAGAAAACCAATACCTTTGAAGTGTACGCTGTTAAAATCCCTCCGTACGGGAACAGAACTGGATGGGTGCCGAGGACTGTTGAAGTAAATCTTAAAATATTGTTATGTAATTTTGCATTATAGGTACATAATAATGTGTTATCAATTCATCGATTATAAATGAGAAATAAATTCAAATAATTAATGCTCAAGTAAAAATTGCAGATAGTTTTTAAAATCTTCCTTCCGCAATATATTCATTTTTAACAAACTTGTGGTCTTAAAGCCTTGTGATGTTTCAGTGAATTCATGGTAGCTGCGGTGTCATACTAGGTACAATACGCTTGTTTTCAGCGAACTACATTATTTCTGTATACTTTTGAATCCAATAAGATTTTTTTGTGCGTAACAAAATTTATATTTATGTTATGTGTTATGTGTTACTGATTCAGTTAGTTCAATATTTGCTTCGATTAGACAATTTTATAAAGCTTAAAAAAATGATTTAAACTGAAGTGTTTTATTTAAGTAAAATCATCATATTATTAATTGAATGGTAAAAAAAAAATAGTGTGAAGTAGACTTTTTACTTTAAAAACTATTGTTGATGATCGACTATGGTAATAATAACAGCACATTTTTTAATTAAAAATAATATTTTTCGCTTTATAGAAATTAACATGTATAGAAAATATATATCTGACATAAAAACTAAATAGAATACAAGACGTGTTGCCTAATGCATTGATCAATATATTATTTTTTTTTTCTTCTAATTGAGATGATTTTTAAGAATACAATTATTGCATAGTACACTTTTGTTAAAATAACCATTTTTTTTTATGTAGGATTTTGGAGATGGTGGTGCTTTTCCGGAAATCCAAGTTGCGCAATATCCATTGAATATGGGAAGAGAAAATAAAGAATCTGTTTCAAATGCTCTTGCACTGCAGTTAACTTCTGATGGTAAAGTTAAATACGATGTGATTGCTCGCCAAGGTCAGAGAAAAGATAAAGTGATTTATTCAAAACTATCCGACATGCTTCCATCTGAGGTGGTCAATGAAGATGATCCTTCGTTGCAAAAGCCTGATTCAGAAGAAGTTGCCGACATCACTGAAAAAACAAGAGCAGCACTGGAAAAGTTGACTAATTCTAAAGTTTCGGCTGCATTACCAGTACGAGCGGCCGATAAACCTGTAAGTTACAATGTTCTTAAGAGGACGCCACACCCGCATGTGTTGTGTCCGTCTTACAAACACGTAACATATCAAATGTTACACTCTGCAGATCACGTTTATCTCCGTTAGTTTAAAAGTTAGAGTGAATTGAGCTCTTATTAAATATAAAGGTAAGATTATTTTTGAGGGCATCTCATAGGTATTTTATTATATTTTAATTTTAAAACGAATATCGTGTATTTTAAGATGTACAAACAAGTTACAATTTTAAAATAGTAATAATTCGCTCTAAAATTAAAATATAATAAAAAGTATATGAGATGCTCTCGATAATAATCTTACATTTAAATTTAATAGGAGGTCAATTTACTCTTAACTGTTAAACTAAAGGAGATAAACGTGATCTGCGGAGCCTACAATTTGTTATGTTATGCACTTGTAAGACGGAGACAACGAATGTGAGTGTAGCGTCCTCTTAATGTTTATGAATATATATGATTTTATTCATATAATGTTTATTTTTAGGCTCCCGTACAATGGTTCCGGTACACCCCCACCGAACAAGGACAAGAATATAATTCCGGTTCGAAACAACGTGTTGTAAGATTGGTGGAGGCTCAAAAAGATCCAATGGAACCACCTAAATTTAAAATAAACAAAAAAATTCCCAGAGGTCCTCCATCGCCCCCTGCGCCATTAATGCATTCACCAACCCGGAAGACATCTGTCAAGGAACAGAAAGAATGGAAAATTCCACCGTGTATATCCAATTGGAAGAATGCTAAAGGTTACACGATTCCATTAGATAAGAGATTAGCGGCTGATGGTCGAGGTTTACAACAAAACCATATAAATGAAAAATTTGCCAAGCTGGCCGAGGCTTTATACATAGCAGATCGTAAAGCCAGAGAAGCTGTTGAAATGAGAGCTCAGTTGGAAAAGAAAATGGCACAAAAAGACAAGGAAAAGAAAGAGGAACATCTTAGAGCAATGGCTCAAAAAGCCAGAGAAGAAAGAGCAGGTATTCGGCTTCCTGGATCCGCAAAGAATGACGAATCTCGCGAACGTGATCAATTGCGTCTCGAACGTCAAAAAGACAGAGCTCGTGATCGTAACCTGGCCAGAAATGCTGACAGCCGCAAGAACAAAGTATTGCGAGATCGAGACATCAGTGAACAAATTGCTCTGGGTCTCCCAGCGATCACTAGGAAAACTGGAGATACTCAGTACGATCAACGTTTGCTTAATACAACAGCTGGCATGGATACCGGATTTGGTGACGATGAAGAATATAATGTGTATGATAAACCTTGGCGTGGAAACAGCAATTTGGCTCAACATATTTATCGTCCGTCTGCTAATATTGATAAAGAAGTGTATGGTGATGATTTAGAAACAATTGCTAAGACAAATAGGTGAGTTTGGTATTATAAGGTTAGAAACATAGACCTATAAACTAATGGACAGCGCATGGAGAGGGAAATCACCAAACAGTATTGTTGAGAGAGAACAAGAGGTTTTGGGTCGTTACAGTGTGCCGAAACATGTTTTTTCTCTCTCATATCCTTTGTTGTCTGGATTAACCAAAGGCAGGGCGGTGTGGGAAGCGTTGTCCATTAGTTTATATGTCTATGGTCGGAGTACTTAATTTGTATTATTATTATATATTGAATAGCGCTCTAATCAGTTTCATAAACTGAATAATTTAAAGCTGTTCGACAGTTTTGTGTATTTTATGGTTTATGAATTCAAAATATTTTACAATTTTTGATTTCACATAGTGTAGTGAAACCAAAAATTCCTCATAAACATTTTATCAAGAAATCTGATTCTTTATAAGTTATAACTAACTAACACCAATATTCATAATTTAACTTGTAGTGTATATGTTTTATAAAAATATTTTAGTGATTATGGTTTTTGTTTTTACTTAGGTTTGTGCCGAACAAAGAATTTAGCGGAACAGATCGTGATCCTAAAGCCAGTGGTCGGTCTGGTCCAGTTCAATTTGAAAAACATCAACAAGAAGAGGATCCATTTGGTTTGGATCAGTTCTTGACTCAAGCTAAGCATGCATCTAAGAGGTCTCAACCACAACAACAAGATCGTGATAAACGTCGTAGAAAAGATTAATTAATTTTTTTCCTATTTGATTGGAAACGTTTTAGGAGTACCCATAATATTTTTTGTCTTAAAAACTAGCATTTTACACAAAAATCCAGTAAAATATCATGAAATTTAATAATTCTATATTCAATTAATTACAAATATTTTTTCTACTTACCATTGTTGATCACTTTAGCATAAAAATATTTGAACACTTTCAATTTTTTTATTTTTTTTTTTCTATAAATGTCAATAAAACTCTTTTTGTTGGGTCAAAAAGCGAGAAACTTTAATACAAGGCTCCTGCTATATTGTTACAACACCAGTTGAAAATGTTAAAAATACGTTGGTGCAATTTTTTTCATAAGCATTTAAAGTTTAAAATTTTACAAAATGTATCAAATTTAAAATTAAAAAAGTATTTTATAGTTAAAAATGTATAAAATGTTCAGCTTATATAGCTACTATTGAAAATGTAAGTAGTTAATTTTATAACCAAAAAATCTAAAAAATATACATAAACATAGTTTTCTAATAGTTATTTTAAATTCAAATTTGGTCGAAATTACATAGAAAATAATCAAGAATAAAGATTTTAGTTATTTTTTTGTAATTTTATAATTAGTAATAGCAACATGATAAGTAATAACAATATAAAATGTAATAATAATAACCGTCAACACTCAGAATCGTTTTTCGAATACAATGATAATATACGATATTATATCATTAAATTCAAATTTAATATCATCCATTAAAGTGACCCACTTGTACAGTAGAGAGACATCCACTTACCACCTTTTTTTTTATTGCTTATAAGTTCAATAATTTTAGGATTTTGTGCACCCCATAAAAATTTGAAAACCCGACGCCCAAGGTAGTTTGTAGTTTGTACCATCATAAACTTTATCTTGTTTTTAATAACATGTTTTATTCCAAATAATAATAAACACTTCAAAAACTTACTGACAAATCTGGTCAGTCTCAGTTTACTCTCCCTTATATAGTCTATTGTCAATAAATAACTAAAACCATTACAACAATTTTAGGAATTGAAAGATAACTATATTGTGCTCGATTCTTGAGGAAATTTGATATCACGTTCTACTTCACATTCAATGTCCAAAAATTAGTTTCTAGATTTAAATTTTTAAAAGATATGATTGGGAAAACAATACAAAATTCTTGAGTTAAGAAAAAATCAAAACTTTATTAACTCATCACTTAATTCTATTTTCAAGGAATTTATATTCAATTTTACACTTTTAAAGCATTATATTATATTGACAGATTTTGGTTCTACATAACTATGACCATAAGTGTTCATGTCATCCTGTTCAAACATATTTATCGGCAATGTCTTTCCATTGTTTCTGTAAAAAATAATGAAAATAAACAAATTAAAATAATACTTCTTTTATTTGACTTAACACCTATTGTTTGTTTTTATATATTAAACACTGATAACAAATCTAGTTATTTCTACGTTCTGTAATTTGATTTATAATTGGATGGGCTAAACTTGAGTTTTTTCTAACTCACTAACTTTTTTAAAAATGTTAAAATAATATAATAGTAGTATCTAACACTGTTAGTGTAAACTTACACTTAACAAAAATACAAATGTATATCCTGTCATACTTGAAGTCAAATTTCTCCTGCAGAACAACTTATTAGAGACTAATATTATCCTGGCCTAAGAGTAGGTTTATCATTTTATGTTTCTAAACATCATTCCGTCTCTTAATTATTCAGTCTGGGATCTAGGATTCAACCCAAAATTAAGTCCTTAAATGGAAGTGCATACTGTGAGGCTCTGAACACCACCTTAGGTATCATCAAACGAGTAGCAAATTAATTAAAATTGAAATTTTTAACAGCCCCAGAAGACTGTATATTGTGCATTTGTCAGAACAATATTTGAATATGACTCTGTCCTCTGAGATCCTAAGAGGCCGTTACTTATGAATTTGTTGTCTCCGTCTTAGTCATCGCATGTACAACATAGCTAATTTTCATTCATTTCCTTTGATGTCAGAGTGACCTATAATCAAACTTTAATGTGTTAACATTATCTGTGTGTAAGCATCAGATTTTTCAATATTTAAATTTGCAAGCAAGACATGCGCATGTCAAATATTACAAATTGAAAATACTCATATCTCTCTTGAAAATTAAAATATTGGAAAATCTCCAATGTTTAAGCATAGATAATATTTTTGCCTAAAAGTTTGATAATAGTTAAATACAAATTTGGTATGTCATACGTGTGTAAGACGAAGACAAAAAATACACGGATAACGTCCTCCTCTGATATTCTAATGCAGCTATGTATTTAAAATTGATTGCTGCTAATTTGGAGCCCTCCTTTTCTTTTCTTAAAACATTCAATTGTTTTGAATCTAATTATTGATAATTATAGTTATATTGTTATTAATTAAATAAATACATTTTCCTCTAATTATATAGATATCAATTAGGCATTCAATATTAATTGTATACAATAAATTTATAAATGTAACAAAATACTATTTTGAAATAACTAATCAAGATATGAATGTCTTAAATTTAAATATTTATTATAAAGTTATTATGTTATTCATATTACTGAATAACGCTAATAATTTATAATGTTTACTTACTCCACGGTTCATCCTATCATATAAATTTTCAATGCCGATATCGAGTGTTCTTTCAAAGAACAGTGACCCAACTGCTACCACGACAAAGAAGCGAGATGGCCTCCTCAAAATTGTTTGGTAAAATACTTTTACGATAGACATGGTAATTTTCTGAAAAATAATCCAATATTATAATAGTGATACATTTTATTTATATTTATATAGAACTATCTACTGAATTAGGTAATACATATTAAACAAATGAAGTCTGAAAACAATTTTAGGTAGGTAGGTATAAATAGGTACGTTATAGATATAAATTGTATAAAATAAAATTTAAATACTTCTGATGACGGATAAATTATAAGTCTTAATACAATTTAAGTAAATATTTCACTTAACACTCAATTATTAATAAATCATTGAGTGACTAAGTCTTATCATTAAGCGTGATTTTAATCGAATGCAACATTTTATCCAAGGTACCTAAGTGACAAATCAATTAAAAATATAATGTCAGACTGCCAAAATCCTAGAAAGTATGTACTCAGGCAATACTATTTAGTATTCACTGAATAAAGTTGTCCCTAACTCGTGGAACTGGCGACACATTATAATATATAAGTTAGAGAAGAGTTCAGGATCACGCTTCAAACCTCATCAAATATAAAGTGGATATAATGTAGTAAGCAAGTTACTACGTAACAATTAAACCAATTCCACAGGTGCATATTTAGCATAATATACTGTAGATCGGCATAAATCGGATATTAAAAACGGAAATAGGATTTCCTCCTGCGTTTAACATAAGGAGACAAGCTCACTGAATAATATAATGACTCAGGCGGAAGGGTTCAAAAATAGGCAAATGTAATATTTTACAGAAGCACTGAACACAACGATATTAAAAGAGTACAATGATTATTTTAATGAAATAGATCATAGATTAATATTTTAGTAATACGCAGAATTATATTGGGAAATCATGAATGCGTGGGCTGGAACGATGACCACACAAATCACATTCGTGAGCTGAGATACAGTATCTATAGGCAAGGGGTACGAGGAACCTCATGTATAAGGGAGCCCGAATCGGCCTATATTCAGACGTGTATGACCACCCATTAGAGCAAGCACCTTCACACCACTCTACATAACATTACTTGGACTTAGTCAAAATTATTGAAGTACTAATACAACAACGGTCTACTTTATTTAATAAACCACCACGACGACATCATCAGAAGAAGTGTCTGCTACCTGCGACGTTAATGTTCTAGTAGCCACTTGTCTATTATCTTACTACAATTATAGTAGGCACCTGGTCTACCAGCACATTACAATAATGACGTATGTAAAGCGAAGCGAAGAAACGATAGTGTCGCAGCTTCGTTCTCCTCCGACCAATGTCCGTAACAACGTCCGACGACCCGGGCGTGACGAAACACCACGGTCACCGGAGAACCCGTGGCCGTCGTATCGACATACCCTCGCACTCTCCTCTCTCCTTCGTGCCCAGGGAACGTCTAGTGGACGACACCTTGGACGGATCGGCGACTTCGAGGAGCCGAGGCCGACGATCCGTCGTTTTTCGGACGACGTCTGTTCGAAAGAAAAAAGCTACTGTACTTACGGTGCGCGATCGAGCTTACCTGCTTTACGTGGTCTCGGCGATGAGGTTTGCTGCCGTCGATCGGTCGTGAACAACGAAAAGTCGTACGCAAATCGTGAAAACTGCGATGCGGACGACGATTTCGGTCGTTCGGTGTTCGAGTTCGAGCAGCTGAAGGACGTGGTGATAACAGTTATCAGCAGCTGTGGCCCGCGAGAGAAAAAGGCCACGGCGGGGCCAGCGACAGTGTGACCGTCGCCGCCGCGTCCGACGCGGGAATTTCGACATCGCGGGCTTCGACGAAATGCTCTTATCGAGTTACCGTGGTTACCGTTGTTATCTTTCCGCGGGAGACGGTAGACCCGGCCGACTTAAAAAACCGCGAATCAAACAACGTAAATTGTTTCGTGGAGACGCAGAAAAGCACAATAATACAATATCCGATATCGCGATTAAACGACAATAACCGCCGTACCGATATCGAAAGTTATTTTCGACGACTATTTGTTTCGGCCGTTGTCCATGCCCTGTTATTATAATACAATATTGTAATATCTCTTCGCTTTCTCAGCTGTACCTTCAAGTTTGTGAATTTGATTGTTTATTTTGCGCCGAACAGAAGTGAAAATTCATCCGATCGAGTAAGCAAAACGCGTGTCATAATATTTTAATAATCTGCCCTGGAAACACAGGCAGTGGTGGATCCAGGGATAGGGCAAAGGGGGCATTTGCCCCCCCCCCCCACAGTGGTTCGAAAATGAAAATAGTTGGCCAAAATTCTAATTTTCACAGAAATCTTATAAAATGATCTGTTCCTTACAGAATAATTATTATAAAAGTAATTCGTATTCGTATACCGACTTAACGGGCCTCCACACGACCTATTTTTTTCTCAAAAACATTTTTTACAGAAAAAACTGTCAATCCACGTAAAAAAACCGATTTCGATAGTTTTTTTTTTTTTTTTGGAAAGAGAAACACACTTCTTACAAAGTGCATTTTACTTAAATTTATAATTTGTGTTCCTAAACCATAAAAAAATATGATTTTTTCATTCAATCAAATATTGCTTATAAATAAGCCTGTCCAACTTCAAGTGCTCACTAAAACGAAACGCGCAAATACGAGCAACTAATAATTATAGTTTTGTAATCAGTAGATCGTGGTCTAAATGATGGTGTATATATATCGCCGTGTAACTTGATGAAAAACATGATTAGATTTGTATGTTTTTAAAAGTGAATAGCTTTATATTGTATTATTTATGACATTGTTCATTTCAATTGCCACATACTGGTTAATAACAGTCATTATTTCATAATTGAGTCATTAAATACTATCTTAGTATCTTATCCAACGTATATAAATTGATAAATACTTTAAAGTTATTTTATTTTATTTGTTGTTGAAAATTAAACTATATGACGATTAGTGACAAAATATCATAATAATTAGGTATGAAAAAAACTATATTTCGTCCACTTCAATTATTATTTTATTGGTATTGCTAATATTATTTTGCAATTCGTTTTGCATAATTATTTACTTTGGTTATTACAGAAAATATTTTTGCTATCCCCCCCCCACCCAATCACCTTTGTTTCACACTGTGTTTAGCTAATTTGGTAGCCAATTTTAGAACTTTATGTACTTCCCCCCCCCCAAATTAAGCCCTGGATCCGCCACTTGAAACAGGCACGGCACTAGCATTTTTTTCCAGAGGGGGCAGAGTGTGGCAAATATTTTTTTTTACATCGGCCAAGCCGCCAAGGTGTTATTTAAACAAATACTGAGGTTGTTTAAATAAAATATAAATATTTCCGTATCATATAACACTATAGCTATTAGCTATATGGTACACAAGTTTTGATATTGTATGCTCTAAAAGCAAAACAGATAATACCTATGTACAAGATTTTGAATAGTTAAAAATGTTTTAAGAATAATGTCAAATCAGTGGCTTGGCCAGAATTTTTTTACGGGTTGGGCTGATCAACTTTTACCAAACTTTTTGAGCGACTATCATAGACCATAAAAATAATTTTTAATTTTCTTAACATTTCAGGGGGTGGCAGGGGGACTGCAGCCCCTCAGCCCCCCTGGCTACGCCACTGTGTCAAATATCTTTTATGTACCTTATATGAAAAAATGTTTAGTCACAGAGTTCAACATCTATATTCATAATGAATAATGATGTACCAAATTGATAAATTCTTTGATGTAGCTCTTTTAAAAATAATGTTTTATGACTTAATTATATCGTACATTTTTTTCAGTGAGGGGGCTGAACTGTCCTCCTCATCTCCTTGGCGCCGTACCTGTCTGGAAATGTTAATTCGGACACCCCCAACGGGTTTGTCGAAATCACACAAATCCAAATCGATGATATTTATCGTATTTAACTATTATGATCTCTTGAACATTAATTGAACGTGAAGTACTTATTGAATAAATTCTTTTTTTGCTAATTGGTAGGGTTTTCCATCGTTATGTACCTACATGTGCCCCGCTTCGTAATTGTAAAAATAATTCGCTGATGACGAATCGATTTCATTAGGTTTCAAACATTGTTAATGCATTCGTACTCTTCGACATTTTTCACAGATTCACAATTGTGTAACTGGATACTAGATTTGATAGTTGAGGGTTGCAGTTACCACAAAGCGTTAGAAGGTACCGACCAGGATATTTACCAATAATTTCTGTGTATTGTATGTTATTAAATGTGTTAAAAAAAAAAATTTACAACAAGAAGTGGATGTACTTCCTCAACTCACTCACCAATAAAAATGTTATTTACAAATTCTATGTGGGTAATTTAAACATTCAATACATACCTGATATCTAGTTCCATAATTTTAATTGAAATTTCAGATGTGTAACGTTGTGTATGTTGTATGTGTACAGCACACAGTTTACCTAGACTTAACTTATAACCCCAAACACCGCTGTCGAGATAAAATATTGAAGTTGAAAACTTCCCCCATTTAAAAAAAAGTATTAAACCTGGATGTAGACTGATTTAGACTTAGGCATATTAGTAGTTAGTTAGTTAACCCTCTAAAAATTATTCATATTATAATAACGTACCTAATAATTTTTTTATGATTATTGAATAACTATTGAGAATTGACTATTTCTAACTATTGAGATACATAAAAACATGGTCGAGAACCTTAAGATAGTTTTGAGGATAGTTTCAACAAGGAATCTACAGGCCAAACAAATTTAAATTGAATTATATTATTGTGAACTTATATAAATAATGTTTTTTAAAAAAAACAACAAAATATCAAAAATTATTTATTTTACATGTCATAAAAATTTGAACTAAAAATATTTTATTGAACATTAAAGTCCTTAGATATTAAAATTAAAACCATAATTTTATTTTAATAAAACAATTCTGATTTTGATAGTATGTATATAATGATTATTTATTTCTTTTAATACTTTTGTAAATTTATTATCAGGGTACTAAATATCTTCAGGACGACAGTACCTACTTTCTTTATCCAGTTTTCAATGATTACATAATGTTCATAAGTGTTTTTAAAAGACAGTTTTATTAAATATTTTATAACTAATATGTCATATTGCCTACCATGATCGTACCACTGCTCTGAATCTAACGTTTTATTTTTCATATTTCAGGATGCCAAAAATTAAGAAAAATGTTAATGACGAAAACAAATGCCCAAATAAATTGATGGCCCAAAAAAGAAGTAAACCAGTTTTCAAATTTGATATGAAAAGAATTCTAAAAGAAAGACAAGCTGAGTGTGAATTTTGGGAAAAAAATGCTCAAATTGATAAAGAAATGAAAGTTCTAGATGTTTTGTTTCAAAAAGAAGTGAACAAAACTATTAACCAAAGTGATGATAAACTTGTATTAGCAAAGTCTGGATATGTTATATTTGACCCCTCTAAGTTTAATGTAAACTTTGAAGAAAACTATAATATGACAGGATCATATTATTCGCAACAGCTACTTCTAATGTCAATTGAGAGAAATGAACTTGAAGCCATCATTATTTTTAATAATCTGATGAAGTCAAATTGGTCTCCAGTATTTAAAGTATGTTTAACAATGTTAATTGTGTATACAATACTTATAATTTTATAAAGAAATATCAATATCTTTGTTTTTAATTCCAATTATCTATAGGATGTTCAACTTATTTTATCAAACTGGGGAGCTGATTTGAATTCATTGACTGACGGTACACTATTAAAGTGTCAAATAAATGATTGCAAGAACTTTAAACGGCACAATTTTGAATTGGTAATGAAATTCATATCTTATAATATAGATAAAAATAATAAGACATTTAGTGAAGATGAACTACTAACATTGGCACAGTATATTGCCAAAATATCTTTTGATCAGTATTGTGGACAAATGATAAATGTTATACAACAATTATTTACTGCTTGTATTGAAACTGCATTACAAGAAGACGATGATGCTTCTATTATAACATTTGCTCAAGAATTGTACTCTCAATATAATATTAAACTACTTAAAATGGTTGTTGATTTATTCCTTCCTTTAGAAGGAAAGATAATGAAAAAAGTCTATACTTATATAACATTCAAGCTATATAAGTCACTTTTAGAAAAAACCAACAACATGAGTGCATTTCCAACTAATATTAAAGAATGGCAAGTTATTTTATTTGTGATTATTTTAATTTAAAACATGTTTGAAGGTATAAAATTAATAAACTAAGTATACATTTCTATGGCAAGAACAATTTCTTATTAAACTTGTTTGTATTATACCTATTTCAATTTATTAAATCATAATACATTGTTGAATAACAAATCTAAAATGCTTACATTTTTTCCAGGTTTGTTCAAGACTTAGTGGATAAAGATTTTTTCAATAGACGACCAAAAAGAATATTATACCGTCTTATTCGGCTGTTGGAACATGTCGTCATTGTTTTTGATTTATACAGAGATGAAAAAAAACTTAGTGACATGTATGACTTTTTGAATTTCATGGTAAAACCAACTGGATTATCAGATTCTCTGAGACTGGTTAATATATTGGATCAATGGAGGTTACAATTATTCCGTTTGCATGTAAATCGTAAGAATGCTTAATTAAAATAATCTCATGATATTTTTCCTAAGTACAATAACATATTCAAGAGTCATAACTATGGTTTATTGTACGTCCATTATATATTATTTTCATTTATATTTGCATTATTTATTTTTATTATTAATGATTTATATTATATCAAGGAAGATATTTGTTTTATTTGTTTGATTAATTAAACTTAGTTCCAAAGTTAACTTTAATATTGTAAAAGTAGATTTATGATAAGTCACATATATTATATTATAATGTTATTATTAACCAACTACATTAATATATGCTCTGAACTATTTAGAATTGTTTTTCTTAGTCATTATAATATATAATATGTTAAAATTCTATTGATTGAATTTCTATTTAAAGTCTATGTACAAAATTATACTATACCAAAAGATTTGTTGTAGCTGTAAAGCTCCAAGCTAATGAGGGTATAAATCACACACATTTTATGCTTCGTAACTGTAAGTTTGTTAGTTAACTGCACTAAGAGTCAAATAAAACAAACTTATCAAACTCTTCTACATTAGACATCTTCTTATTAAGGGGACGTTACAGTGACTTTGTTGTGTCCGTCTTACAAGCGGGTAACATAACAAATTTTATGCTCAGCAGAACACATTTATATCCGTAAGTTTAAAAATTAGAGCGAATTGTGCTATTATAAAATTTGAAGGCAAGACTGTTAACTAGACAATGAAATAGGCTTTTTATTATATTTTAATTTTAAAGCGAGGTATCAGTATTTTAATATTGTAAACTGTTCGCACATCTTAAAATACTCATAACTCGCTTTAAAATTAAAATATAATAAAAAGCCTATGTCATTTTCTAGATAGTAATCTTACCTTTAAATTGTATATGAGATCATTTCTCTCTGATTTTTAAACTAACTAAATGTGTTCTGAGCCTAAAATTTGCTATGTTAAGCACTTATAAGACAGAAACAACAAATGCCACTGTAGCGTCGACTTAAGCCTTGATGGTAAGTGCTAGTTTGTTTTCATATGATATACTATAAGTGAGGAATAGGTATTTTATGTAATGGTATTTTTCTTATTTTACGTTATCCTCTTAAAAATGTTGTTAGTTATATGTATTAATGTTCGTGAATTTCGATATGTTGATATGTATTATGATGTATTGTTTTAAATACTAACACCAAAATTACATTTTTTAAGAATTGTTTTTGTATTCAAATGAAAGTAGTGTAATGCCACATCATATAATTATGCTATAAGTTGAATTTATAAATTTGATTATTTTGCAGTTAAATAAAAAAAATTTTAAAATGCTATGGATTATAAAAGATTAGACTAACAAAAATGATTTAGCTTAAATAAGGAGTAACTATTTGATTTGTACTTCAATATTATATGTTGTTTCTCTTTCAAATGATAATACTTAGAAAAATATTGGTAAATTCATTGTATTTTAAATCCGAAGATCTCAATATTAGGACAAGAGTAACAAAAATCTGTTAGTATTTTTAATATTAAAAAAAAATCAAATATTTTATTGAAATTCTGATACTTCTATCTTCTTAAACACAAAAAATTTCTTTATACATCAAACATCGAAAGTAAAATATTTAGATAGGTAATTCATTGTGTAGGATAGTCTATTATGCCAAGCTCAACCCAGTGATATCAAGCGAATTGTCTAGAACAGTGACGTATATAAGGGGTGCAGCCCCCCACCCAGAATTCACAATCTTTAAATAGAACAATAATATATTTTATATATTATTTCATAGCCTGTTGAAAAAATAACAAATACGAATATATTTATTGAAACTGTAAAATCTATAGTATAGCCTCCAAGTAATAGATAACTTGCTAATTACTATCTACTATGGCCCACCCCAAACATTATTTCTATATAAGCCACATTGGATTTTGGAACTTGAAACTTCTAAAGTACACTATTATATATCTATGATAGTATCAGGGTTTGTTGTTGATGTATAATGCGTTATAAGTACCTAATGGATATTGTGATATGATTAATTTGGAATTTACTATAGGTGCCTGTTTAGGTAAATTTTTTTTTAATACCATAGATATGTATATATTAAGTCTTAAACCTAGACTGGCATACTGTTTCCGCTCAGAATCGTTTTTCTTATACAATGGTATTAAATCATAGAATTCAAATTTAATACCATCCATTATACAGTGACCCACTTGTAACCTATAGTACAGCAGTCAGCAGAGCACCTTTTTTTTCTAAAAATATCAATAAAACTGTATTTGTTGGTTAAAAAAGCATGAAAGTTTAATACAAGGCTCCTGATATATTATTACACTAGCAGTTAAAAAATACATAGGCACAATTTTTTTTTATATAAGTACCTATTTAAAGTTTGAATTTTGACAAAATTTATCAAATTTATAATTTCATAATTATTCTGTTGTTAAAAATGTATAAAATGTTCAAATTTATAGCTAAGGATTGAAAATTTAAAACAAAGTTCCACGTAATTAGGTTATATATAAATTACTTTATTAACAATAAATATATCATCAAAAATTTATCATCAAGCATACTTAGTGATATCATAGGCTGACTGGCCGTTTTTGCTCAGAATCGTTGTTCTTATACAATGATATTATAGCATTGAATTAAAATTTAACACCATCCCTTGCAGAGCGTATACTGTACAGCAGAGCGACATCCACTTACCCGCCTTTTTTTAGATTGGATTTTGACAAATCGTTTTTAGTAGATCTGACGACAATGATTTAACATTTAATAATAATTTGAAAAAAAAATTTTTTTTACGTTGTGTGCTTCGCTTTAAGTTTGACGTATTGAAAAATAATTTAATTGTAAAAAAAATGTGATAATTAAATAATATGATATCAGAGATTTTAAATATTTAAAATCTCTGTATGATATTCTCATTTGTAGACTAGGCTCTCTCCATATTACTGATATTACCATATATTACTGTATGTCTGATATATATACTGATAAAACCGACATATACACGCCATAAGACATGGTACCCGAAAAAATAAGTTCTAGCTGAATCTCTTACGAGTTATACGACGAACACAAGATAACATATTGTAAATATCAAGCAAGAAAAAATAAATAAAACGTAGGTAGGTACTTAATATTATTATATAATATATTTTCTTCGGTCTAGCAAGAAAACAATTGGACAGTAGACACTAGACGTCTAGTCGTCTAGACACCATCAAAATATCCAATCACTCTCCGAGGCACAGACGCAAGACGCCACATTGACACAGTGATTCGACATCAAACAGGTACCATCAAACGGGCCAACTTGGGGGCTGGGGCATAAGACGTATTATCTTATAGTTGTACCTCCATAACGGTTTCTTATCAATAAAGTTATGTGAAAAAAATATTGTGTCGCAATATTTAAAATCACTCTGGGAGTGTCGTAGGCTCGTAGCGTCAAATTTTAAATGTAGTTAGGTGTTTATTTTTATTAATTAATTTTATGTTCAATATTTACCTTTTTTGCCAACGTCCGAAAACTTACACTAATACTCATTGAATGAGATGTTTTATATAAAAATGTATACCGTCAATCGAGGTGACTTGGAACGATTTTGACATATTTCTTGTTATTCTGAGCTTAAAAAAAATCGCACTGGACTACAAAAAATACATAAATGTTTGCATACGTCTCATGAATAGGATAAGACCTTTCATTTAGTTTTTTGACCAAAACTGAACTTAAAAAAAAGTAAAAAGTACGTGTTCCAAGTCACCTCAATTTTTGGGTGACTTGGAACAGCTATGAAAATTTAATGTGAAATTCAATTCAAGAACGTTAGAGGTGACTTGGAACAAAATTTTTATTTTAAAAATTACCACAAGAACATGTTAAATAAATATTAAAAAGAAACAGGTTAACTTTACCTTTTTTTAACAGTAAATTAAATATTTAAATAATAACATGATAAAAACAAAATAAAAATTCTTTCTAAATAGAAAAACATAACTAAATAGTTCTTCAAAATAAACACAAATACATTTGAAATATCATCGAGGGCCTGTTAAAGTGTTTCGTCACTGTCATTTATATATGTCCGGCTACCCGGTTTACGCTCGTATTTGTTTGGCATTTTTGGTGTTCCAAGTCACCCTCAATTTTCTTCTGTAAAATAAAACTTAAGTTATAAAATTAGAAAAAAATGTTTAAGGACTTATAACTACAAAAGTCTGCTTTTGAAGTGTCCTTTAATGTATAAAAAATATACAAATCTTTAAATTTGACTTCAATCACCAACATTTGAAGCACTTTTGAGAGCAATGATAAAATCGTTGTTATCATAAGAAATGTTTGGTTATTTTTTTCGGTGGTAATGATAAGACCAACCACATGGTTGATAATAACATTTATTATCACAAATATTGTAAATTTAATTTAAATGCAGGCAGATTTAAATTATATCATTTTGTTTCATAGATAACCTGATATGTTTAAAAAAAAACCGGGGTGTTTCATTTCACCTCAAAGTTCCAAGTCACCTCGATTGACGGTAGTAAAAAGTGTAAGCTGTAAAATGTATTACTCTATATTATAATCATGCATATACAGTGGAACCTCGATTATCCGGGGTAATGGTGGGGAGGGGGTCACACGGATAAATGAAAACCACGGTTAATCGAGACTTTTTATAATAATGACATTTTTTATTTAACTATAATTAGAAATACACAGGTACAATCTTATTCGTTAGTCGCATTAGTGTATATTACGTCTTTCGTCGCACCGCGATCATTTTGACCGCGTTATAATTTTTAAGAATATAATTGTGATATCTCTGTGATATGAGTCCTTTTCGAAATTATTTGATTAAATGTTATGATATTTTTATTATTGACTGTTGATGTTATTATCGTGATTATAAAGTAACCGAAAACATTATTACCACTAGGGATGGCAAAAAATGGCAAAATATGGATATATCGAAAAAACAAAATTAAAATAATAATTAATTTAAAAAAATAATAAAAT